TACTAAGTAATCTGCTCTAAATTACTGAGAAAGTGAACAAACTCCCCCTCCTATCCCCTGCCCAATGAACTTACTGCTCTAAAGGGAACTATTATCAAAAATACAAAACAAATGTAAGAGCAGTTCCTGTATATTCTGTAGAGGCAAAGCCGCTCTTGTGTAAGGAACATGGTGCACTCCTCACCTTTGCCAAAGGATGACTGAACACTTGGCAAGGTGTGAAGTCACACAGGCATGAATGACCGACGCATCCAGACTTCAACCCCTATACAAGACACACACCTGCATCAGTTGTACACACTTTTACAGATAAAACCCGAAAAAGAACATGTTTAGTTTCACTTCCCATGTTCAAACTATAATTACCTTTCATCTAATTTACAGTTATAATTGCTCAAATCTGTTTCCATGCAGGACAATCAGAAAACAAAGATGTCAGCAGCCACTGACATGGTGACAGAAATGACTCAGCTAGAACAACATGGGAAAGCTGTAGCAGAAGAAGGGATAAAATCCAAGCATCAATGCAACTTCTAATATTTCCAGCTTTTTCTTCCAGCTCAACACCCCCTCCTTCCTAGCACTCTTTCAACCCGTCTCTTCCCCATCTGTCTACATGACCTCATGACTTCCCAAGCCCATGTCCTTTACCTTTCCATTTGCCTCTTCCCACTCTCAGTCCTTCCTTAACATGGCTCTTAACATTTTTCTTAAACAAGTCTCCTATGTTTTTCTTGCACCTCACTCAGGTTTAGATTTTATCCTCCCTCACAGTGCTCAGGCTTAGCAAAAGGCAGACACAGCTCAAGCAAGATAGACTGACGTTTGGCAAAGCAGTAACTTCTAAGAGGAAGTACTAAGCAATCTTTGCCAGAGATGCTACTACCACATTCAATGCTTTGCTCTCACCTGCAAAAGAAACAAAATAGCCCAGGTTCTCTTTCTCTGCAGAAGAAGAAAAGAGAGGTGGGAATAATGCAACATTAGAAAGCTAATTATGTCTTTCTTGTTCTCTAGATAGACCTACAATACATTGTGATTCATTTTATTTAGAGAAGTCTGGGGACTTCAGAAAATTTACCCCAGCTTTTAGAGTCCCAAACAAGCCAAATGCTTGAAAAGCTGAGATAGTGATCAGAGTCCGCTGCCAACACCCCTGCTAATCTAGAGAGCAGAGTGGGAGAGAGAGAACAGGCATAATACGCTGGCACTGGCCGCTTGAGAGCTCTCCCAGAGGAGGGGGCACTTGAACTGGCTAAATCAGCCTGGGTCCCAATCACTTGGGTCCACTTCAAAAGCGTAAAGAAGTCTGCAAGAGATACTCCAGCTCCATCAGTCTTTTGTTGTTGTTACACTAAAAATAAGAGTGCTGTCCGGACTTTGCATGGAAAGGACCCAAATATTGGCTAATTTCTTTTAAAAATACCCGTTAAAAATGAAAAAAGAAGCAGGAGTAGGAGTCCAGTCATTACATAGGTACAAGAAAATCCAGTGGCACAGGGAGTTTCCACAGACAAAGGATTTCCCACAGACTATTGTTGGAAACACTGTGATTCAATTGCTCATTTCTTGCTCAACAGGCTGCTGATTCAACCAGAAGAGGATGCTGACATATTTCACCTTCTGCATTCCACCTACTGAAGCCTAAGTCAATAAAAAAATTGGCTTTTAAAAACTTGTGACTATATCTCATGCTAGTTCCTAGTTATTTACATAACATACGTTTGTGGTACAATATCATCTTTTTGTCAATGTCATTTAAAGGTAAACATAATAAAATAGTATATCAGGAATTTTAACTGTCGCTGTCTGCTTATCTTGCTAACTCCTAGTTGGACATTCACTACAAGCAGGTGGTTAGAAGGTGAAACACAGAATATAACATACTTTCAGATTCACTGCTCTATGAAGACACTATAGACCACAAAAAATGACAACATACAAACTCACAGAATAATCAGCTAAAATGTGTTTTGCGGCTTGAGACAAATACTGTTAACACTGTACATGAAAAACAGTCTGCTTGTGAAAATGAATGGCCTGCTGCAACTCCCCAGAGAAAGCCCTCAGGTAAGGAAGTCGGAGGGAACCAGGGAGCAAGCCAGTGGAGGCTATTTGAAACCCAAACCTTTCTACAGCTACCTCCAGGTGCAGTCCTAAATTCAGCAACAGTATCTGTTTCCCAGAAGCAGATTTTAAGCTGTCTCTGACAGGTAACTGGAGATATGCTGTGCAGTTCTAGAGGCACGGCGTGTAGCTAGCCTCCAAAACAAAGCACTAGCTGTTATTTTTTAGACAATAGATTGTATCTCTGTTCTACTGCAGAAGCTTATGTACATTTCTTTCTCTTACTCAGAAAGGTTTGTTTGGGATGCTGGCAGTGGAAAGTACAGAAAATTCCCTAGAGGGAGGTAGGAAACAGATAGGAGAAGTGTGGCTAGAGGCTAATAGATGAGCCATTACTGACTTTATAATCCACATAGACTCTTGAATGCGTTAAATGTCTTGGAGCTGCATTTTTAAAACCTTAGGAAGGAAAGAACAGGGAAGGAGCTTGTTTTAGCAAAGCAAGGAGGAGTCTCTGACACAACATAAATGAACTACATTAGGGAAAAAATCAGGAAAAATGAAAACCGACCCTCCCAGGACTTCATTTTCTTTGCACACAAACATAGATATGCACACAATGGATGCTGCTGAATCTTAAAAATCATGAATGTATCGTTGCTCTACCTAAACCCAGAAAAATATCTTCACTTCAGTCAAGCAGCTAAACCTCTGCTTAACTTAAAAGATCACGAGTGAATGCATCTGAAATAAACAGAATTTGAGTGCTTTGTTGGTGAAGGCACAGGCTTACTCTTTATATTCCTAAGGATGAAGAAAGTGTTTTGCTGATACACAGGAATAATGAAAGAAGTTACGTTGTTGAAAATGACTTGAAATTCATATTATAACAATAACACATCAATTAGTTAATAGCTTACAATCAAAATATAAACCTACTATGTTTCACTCAAGTCTGGATATACGTCATTAATCCCTAATGATGTGAGAACTATGTTATGTTTTACTAGGAAAGCTTTAAAAATCATAAATATTCCAAATAAAAGGAAAAAGTTATGATCCATCCAGTTTCTGACAAATATAAACTAGGAGGTCTGCAATTATGGTGACATCTGAATTGAAATGTATATTTAAAGACTGTATGGGGAACAGCGACTGTATTTAATGCTGTCCAACATTTGCTGATGTAGACATAGTTTTCAACTCTTTTTAAACATGTAATATTTAGTTATTTGAATGCAGATTTTTCAGTTAAGCATCTGACTCAGGATGATTTTAAAACTTTACTAAAGGAAAACCTTTCTACAAAATAAAAAACATGTAGGCATTTCTCAGAATAGAACTAGTGGAAAATGCATTACTTTGCTCTCCCCTTTTGGTTTTAAAAGTAGCAAAAAACAATAGCAAGATAATAGCAAGACAGGTTTAATTGATAAGCTCTACTACCTTCATGCTTTGAAACACAGATTTCACATCTTGAAGGGAAATCAGGGATGTGCTTTTTGCCTTTTCTAGAGAAATCCATACAAACCTGACACCTAAAAGTCTATTTGCAGACGCTAAGATAGGTTACTTAGAAAGTTGAGTTCTCCAAGCATGACGTGGCCCAAAAATGAAGCGATCAAGTACGGACTGCACTGAAATTGACTCTTTCAATGTCTGGATCTGCCGTGGAGCCTATGCTTTCAATACCTTGCTTGCTAATGGGGAGGCTCGATGATGAGAAAAGAGAAAACTAAGGAGCTGTTTAAAGAGAGCGGCCAGGCACGGCCTGAGAGAACGCAGGAAAAGCAGCCGTGCCCTGGAACCGGGGTAGCAAGGTTACAGAGCTGACCCGACTACGCAGAGCCCAAGAGCCAGGGACAGAGAATCAAAGGGGGCTGACAGGACGCTAACGAGGAGGCAACGTGAGCTAACGGCGGAGCGGGACGGGCCGGCAGAGCGGGAGCCGCAGCCGCCGCGCCTCGGCCCCGCCCGGCCCCGGCGCCGCGCTCCGGCCCTCGGGGCGCAGCGGGGAGAGGCGAGGGATTTTGTTCGACGTCGCCTTCTGCCCGCGAAAGGCAGGGAGGGAGAAGTCCCCCGAAAGCCGGTGTTCAGCTGCCTGACCCACGGCGTCCGCCGTCGAGCCCGGTTTGCTCAGGAACAGGAGCTTACGCAACCCGCGCTGGCTGCGTTTGCCCCGAACAGCCCGGCACCTGTTGGGCAACGGCGGTCGCGCTCAGCGCCAAGCCAGAAACCCCCGAGCGTGCTGAAATGCGACAGCTCTTGCAAAAATGAGTGGTCAGGTAGCAAATGAGACCCTGCTTAACTGAGTGAACAATTAACGAGCTCACTCTTTATTAAGCACCAGCAAATTCACATGGTAGGCAGACACTGGAAACCAGACTTCATCCATTCCCCGCTGCCACAACCACTTGTTGATTCCTGAAATCAGCTGCCTCATTCATTACGCAGCTTCCATCTTCCGCAATACGAGAAGCAGGTATCATCTGAGACTACGGTGCCTTAACTACACACTCCTCAGTCATTCCCAAAGCACTATTCATGCCATAGAATCACAGAATCATAGAATCATTAAGGTTGCAAAAGATCCTTAAGATCATCGAGTCCAACCGTTAACCTATCACTGCCAAGGCCACCACTAAACCATGTCCTCAAGCACCACGTCTGCCCGTCTTTTAAATACCTCCAGGGATGGAGACTCATATTCCAACTGGCGCAAGAGTTTGGTGGGCAGGAATTAGAAACTGTGTCGCACTGCATGCAAGCTAGGAAGAAAAACTAAGAGTTGTACTGGCAACTTCAGTATTTTATACCTGTCAAAGATCTATCTTTCCAACTATGTATTGTTTTAATGTAAGATTTGTATCTATTAAAAGATAATATTTAAATAAGGACATATTTTCATAACTTTGATAGAAGTGACAGTTTACCTGATTTACCGTTTCTTCAATTGCTCTCATATAATGATTAAGTTCTCTGTCCATTGCAGCATATTCTAACATGACATTTTCGATACTGTTAACATCCTCTACATCATCTGCAAAACAGAAGATTTTGTACATGGGTGATCAGTTGTCTTATTTTCAGGCAGCATTTTTTCTTTACAGATATGAAGACAAATATTAACACTGTGAATTTCTAAAGCATCTGTAAGGCACAGCAGGTGTTTTCAGGCTCCTCAAACATATACTTTTTTCCTATTTTGCAATTGTAAACCTTGACATTTCTTGGGTAACTTGAACAAACAGCTTACTCAGAAAGACACTTCCCTGGTTTCATGTGAACAAGAGAGAGTGTGTGTAATTTCATCTACCAACACCTAGTCATTAGGCAATCAGGATATTTTCTGCAAAAGTTATATTTCATGACTCATCACATTGCCTCAGAAATAGTCAGAAGAAACTTAAATGCTCTCTCAGTACAGTATAGTTCAGAGCTATAATTAGACCCCTTATCCCCAATAAACATAGCTACTGCAAAATCAAAACAGAGCCAGCATTTTATAACACAGGAAATAATGGAAGATTCAATAGCATTCGTGAATCAAGCAGTAAAATTTTAATTGCCAGTGAAAATCAATGAATACAGGACGTGTGCTTAGTAATTCACATCCACTTTTTTTCTCTCCTGCATTCTTCCTAATTTCACTCCTTTCATCTCTAAGTACACCTCTGCTTTCCCATTCTAACGTTGCTGCGCATCAGCTTAGCTGGATAAGGGCTCCACAGACGCTACAGGGCTGAACAGCCACGGCTGTATCTCCTGACACAGGTGCACGTACCACACCAAACGCTGCCAGCGGCGGGAGGACAGCCAGCCACGAGCCCCTAACCCATTTAGGAAATAAAGAAATCAGGAAACCTAAGTTTCCACTTCTCCTACTCCCATTTATTCCTACCCTGCAGTTTGCAGGTATAGAGAAAACAGCTGGAAGCAGCTGGAAGCTGCAAAAGAGCCCCAAAGTCTGCCGTGCAGCATTAGGGGTTGCTATTTAATGGAGTATTCTTCTTTACAAGCAGTTTAAGTAGCCAATCTGCGCTGTTATTTTTAGGAAGAAAATCATGGTATAGCTTTTTAAATTACTTTCTTTGTGAAGAAAGGAAAATGTCTTCTGATCTGGCAAGCTAGTGCACTTCCTAAGTTGCTAACTATATTAGTACGTTAGAGCACAAAAATCTGTCTCTGCAGAAAGCTAACATAAAGCATTGTATACGACCGTCTTAGCTTGAGAGCAAAACCTGCAACTGTTGCTGAAACACATCACTCAGGGATAGGAGCTTCGTACCATATGAAACAGTGATGGATCCAGGAGACAGAAAGAAAAGCGCTAAGATATATTTACACAAAAAAGTTACATAATAAGCCATACTATTTTGTGAACGTGGCAATTACAGTCATGATGTTTCCCTTAATTATATATAAGCTTGGTATGTATCCATTTTTCATTAAGTAGATGAATGGATATTGCAGACAGAATCTTGGCATTCCCGCAACTTTCTTCTGAAGAATCAGCATTTCCCTCTCCCCTTTCCCTTCCCTCCCACCCAATTTCCATATCCGATCTGGGAACTATGATCATGCTCTTTTTCCTTCCTGCTAGGAAGCATATGAAGTGCCTCCTTCAAGGCTGACACAAATGGCACTCCATGAATCACAGGAAAGGTTTGTGTAGCAAGTAACTGTCATTCTCCTCCCATGGCCAAAATGAATCATATCCACGACATAAAGAAACTGCAGTGGCCTAAATCTTTTTTTTTTTTAGGGGAAGAGAAGTGCATTGTTAAACGCCAAGTGAGCTGTACTAATGCCGTCTTTCCTAAAAGTTAAAAAAGCTTTAGATGAAGAATAATAGTATTGCAGCTTGAGAGCTGCATTAAAATAAAGCTCAAACAAAGAGGTGGAACACAGCTGAGGCAAGAAGGACATTACCTGTAACTACATCCTGCCCTGCATTCTTCATGTACCGACCGCTCCACCCATCCACCAGCCTGTTTTAAGTCTCAGTGATGTTCACTGCTGTTTTCCTGTTGCTGTTCTTTCATGCACATGAAGTATGTTATCTATACTGGGAAATCGCTGAATGCATCACTAATGCATGACTGTAGCCTGCCCTTGAAGGCATTATGGACACGAAGACAGATCTGAAGGACTGTATACAGGTCGGTTGCTGTCCGTCCCCTATTTCTGCTCTTTGACGGATACTAGAGTCCATTTTCTATCTGCAGTTCAATCCATAGTCCAAGGTGCTGAGAGCTAAGAGGAAATCTCCTGTGTTGTTCCCAGCCACTCATCTCCCCATCTCCTAAACAAGATTTAAAAGAAAACTTACACTATAGGCTATTCTATTTGCCTTTAAAAAACTCTTGTCGTCCCACATGACACACTGCAATAACCTGCTGTGCATGGCTCCTCTGCTCCCGCCACACTCTCCCTTCCCCTGATGAGCAAAGAGCACTTCTGCCCCTCCCTGGTAAGGAGCAGATGCAGAGCAGAGCTTGGGTACACATGATGAGAAGCTGTGGGTGACTGTATGGGGATGTAAAGTTTTATAGCTCACCAAGGCAGGGATCCCAGCACCTTCACTGTATCCTTACAACAGACTCCACCATAGACTAATCAGAACACACCAGTTGACCGGATCTTACTAGGGAACAAGAAATTAGAAAAGACAGACTTATCTCCTCTCACCACCATCCCACAACTCACTCTCCCAAATCCCACCAACCTGATAGTTTAACAGCGCTGTAATATGAAGAAGAATCAAAATCTAATAATTGTATCAGGCTTTTGAAAGATTCAAAAGGCATTGTCCATTATCCACTCTGCAAGCCCCACTGCTACTTTTATTTCAGTTGTGAGGAAGGCAGTAGAGATCCATGGTGAAGGGATTCAAGGCACTGTCTCTCTTCCAGCAGACCGTCACCACGTTATCTGCTGAACACCCTCCAGCCAGACTTCAGCTACAAAGCCAGCTAACTCTCCAAAGTACTCAAACCTTTCACTCTGCAGGCCAGCAACCTAGCTCAACACCAAAATCGAATGCTTTGCAAGTGCTGGATCAGTGCCTTTCTGTTATCTAATCAAAATTTATCCTAATCTTGTTCTAATTCATATCTAAGGAATGCATTCCAAACTCTCTGCATATGCTTTTAGCTACTGCCACAAAATACCATCGAAGTTGCATACTGTAGTTAAGTCTCCTTGTTATCTAGGCTAAATATGTTGAGTTTAGCAAGCATTTCTCCAGAAGTCCTTACCCTCACCACCCAGAGATTATACATTTTGCAATATTACATCTTTTACTCACAGAAAGTCCAGTTCAAGGCCATACTTTTCATTTTCAAAGGCCCATGTGCATCATGTTAAAATGAGCTGGCTGAATATGCACACTTTATGATTATGAATTCCAGCTCGCATGACTTTATGAACTCTTTTTATAATGGAAATAGGGATATTATTCTGAAAAGTCTCCCTAAATATTAAAGAACAAAATTACATAAAGAGACTAGCAAGAGTTCAATTTCTCACTTCTAGTAAGAGACCAAACTGATCATGCTCAGGTGCCTTGCTGCTGATTCAAACTGTAATCAATCAGGGCTGGGTTACGTATCATGAACCCCACAGTGTTAAAACAGAAGTTGCAGTAACAGGATAGAGTCAAGTCAGCGCTGGTCTAATACTTCCTATATTAACACTCAGCTAAAATGCCACCCATTTATCCAAAACTTGCATTTCCTTCTAACATCTGAGTTCATGCTTACTTTAGTTCCCTGTACACATCCACAAGTTAGCAACATTTCTAAAGATTTTTCACAACTACCTCTTTTTCTGTGCAAAAGTTACAACATCAGTATTTGCTTCTGTAGGTTATTACATCTGTCCTGCAGCCAATACACAGCAATTCAAATAAGCATTCACTTCCACCACAGACTATCTGAAACACAAAATAGTCTGGAATACCATGAAATTACAGGAAGGCTCTAAACCTACAAATACAACAGTACTTAAAATGAATGCTTAAGCACAACAACATGGATTAACATACGTATATATATACTCTCCTATCTATAGTATTGGCTAACAAAAGTCAAACTTTCAATTTAAAGAAAACAGGACATTATCAGTTCTACCTCTGGCACTACGTATTAGATTGCTTTGAATTTCAAGGCTACACACTTTTTTTTTCTGTCAAGCTCTCCCAACATTCAAGGCAGCAGAGGAACAGTATACCATTGCCCACAGATTTTGACAATAGATTGCAGACTTTTAAAACACACGTAGCACAAACATCTGTCACTTGAGCCAATAGCAACAGCAGTAGTAGGCAGTTGTCTTCCTATGCACCAGCAACAGATAAAATGCACACTTTGCCAGCAGGTTTCAAGTTACGGCTGACAGCAGAGGAACACAAGCTCCCCAACTCCTTCATTTAGTTCCATCTTCTGGAGGAGAATGCACATTCTCCATTCAGGATACAGCTAAGCATTTTGTTGTTGGTTTTAGCAAGTACTTCATCTTCAAAACCAAAAGACACCCACCTGCGCCCCCAATTTTGGTATACTCAACGCCGTTCGTAATTCAAGTTAGACAATACATCTTGAAAAAACACTATCAACCAATCCACACTCTTTAAAAATAGATTCACAAAACACTTGGAGAAGACAGTAGCAAGATGTCCCTCTACTGTCTAGATGCTCGGTAGTGAGAGGAAACAGACCTATGTAGAAGACCACTGTCTTATTTCCCTCTTCTGTCTATATATACTTGAACCCTGCCATGGTCCTCCAGACTATGCAGACCAAGAGGAACTTAAACAGAAGACTGATTGCTTCTGCAGCACTGAGGGTCCTCCTTCACTTTTTCTCCTGCAGATACATGGACAGCTCCTCAGAAAACTCTCAGCGAATGAGATTTCTTTCCAAATCTCATCTCCCTGACCTGTAACGTTTTATCTATTAGGCTGCAAAAAGAGCAGAATGCTAGTACAGAAAATTCTAAACTAAAAGAAATTAGAAGCAATAAAAAGGAACAGCAAAA